GGGGCATGTGTGGGAGAGGACTTTAGCCTTTGCAGACCATTCACGATACCAATATAACACACCATCTTTTCTCTAAAAGTCTCTGAAAAGGGAAGTGCAATCAGTAAAGATGTGATGGAATATGTTACTTCAATGATCTCTGTGTCGTTACAGAAGTGATACAGGACACGGACAATGTTAAAATAAAAAAGGAGTAAAACAAAACTAGCAGTTGCAACTCGAGCGTGAGAACAGGTGAGACAATGAATAACAGTAGTAACACTTAGTCACTGGGACAGAGATGCACATGGTCGTGCTAAATGATGACATGAGTGACAAACTGCATAACCGTGTGTCAGAGGTAGCAGAAAGACACGAATGACCAATGAGAAGAAGAGTGTATACTACCTAGAAACACTTGATTAACTAGCAAGGATGACAACGTTCTCACCAAATACATTTGATAAGATGGAGGAGTTTGAGTGATTTATTGAAATAAATACAAAACCACTACTAAAGTTTCAATTTTCTATTGTGTGGCATTGTTTTATATACATAAAGAAGATACAAAAAAACTCAAGTGCACTGACACAGAAAATAAAACACTAACATACACACACCAAGTCCTATAAGAATACCCCCAAAAATACAAAAAGTAAAGGTAGGGTAGACATTGCCACAGAAGGGATATGCACCTACATATCGGAGATGCAGAATTATGCAATATTATCTCAAGTATAAGGGATTTTTAAGATGAATTGAAGGGAAAGCATGGTGTTTGTAAAAGGGAATGCCTGAATAAAGATTAGGATCTAAACATTCAAGTACAAGTGGTTTTAATCAGATGGAGCGTCCCACAGTTTCCTTACAGAAAACCTATTCTCAATGTGCCTTTGGACAGAAATATAATGTAGATTTGCTACTGCGTCAGAGTAGCTTCCTTGTTATGAGGATTTATTTTACCTGTAGATCCTGTTGATTTAGTGATGTGTGCATAACATCCACTCAGAACAGCTGCCACCTTCTGCAGACTGCAGTCCAAAGGAAGCTCTCAAGTTTCTCCCGTGTTTTAACATCATGTTTAAAAGTATTGTTTTGTTGGTTTATACCTAAAGCTATTCATCTAAAGACATCATTTAAGACTGAGACACTGGGGTGGACTTTTTACACTATATTAAAATGTGTTTTCTGGAAACTAACCAACAAAGACATTAGTTGAAAACCTAATCTCCCTTATACAAATGATTTATTTGTAAGACTATCTGTTTGACCTTATTTTGCACATGATATCAGATAACATGTTTGTGTTTATGTTGGCAGAGTAAAAGTAATATGATGATCTTCTTACCGCAGCGGTCCCTGATGACCAGGTTGCGTCCCTCCTTTAGGTTGATGGTGAGCAGGAAGGACCGGGTAGAATCCTTGATGCCCTCCGACACACTCTGAGACTCATTGCCCATTTCAGACTATATATATACACACACACACACACACACACACACACACACACACACACACACACACACACACACACACACACACACACACACAATGATTATTTATTCTACTTTAACACGTGGTACATCTGATTAAAGCTGGACTTGTTGAGCTAGTATACTAAAGTTTGAGGACAGAATTTAAAATAACACTTTTTTTAATACCCAGCTTTTCATTTATTAATTTCAACAACTAAAACAAATCATGTTTGATAGAGATCTTGAATACTTTGATCATTTTAAGAGGTTTTCCAACGATGTGAATTTTTCCAAAAAAAGGTTATTCCATTTAACTTTTTTTTCAAATCATATCCCAACTGCATGTCAATGCAATTTTTGTTTGAGTTTTTTTTTTCCCACTTTTCCTCTTTCCTTTCTTTTGTTTTTTTTACACAAACCAATCTTGATTACATTTGACATCTATCTATTTCCTTTTAGAAAATATGTAGAATGTAAAAAAAATGTTGGCAGACATTTGATGCTAGCTTTCGGTACTTGATACGTTTTAAGAGTGATACCCAGCCCAATGGGGAAATAAATAAAATGCAGTGCATTTCCTTATATGTTTTTATAAATAAAATTCCTACATTTGCATAAGGCGAGACACTAAGGGCAAACACATTGCTTTGTTTCAGACTAGAGGAAAGAAAACATCCAATATACACAATGAGGTGTTTGTTTTAATAACTATGTGTATCTGTTTTTGCATATTCAAACATAACATTTCATGAAACTTGTAATAGCAGAAATGATGGTCATAATGCAAATAATCAGCTTTCCTTTGGAATTTCCATGCTACTATATTTATGAGTTTGATATTGATTGAATCATATTGTAAGATTTTGAGAGATTATCATTTGTCTTATTATGTTCTTCGGCTACTAATTTGATGCCTACTGTCGGCAGACTGTTATGCTGCATAAGCACAAAAGGGACTATTCCTGTTTTGCGAAAAAAAAATGTATTTGTACATTTCATAATTTATTCTATACAATATCAAATTAACTCCACGTTCCCCTCCCTACAAAAACCGATCCAGTGAAACCCCCCCCAAAAAACGGTTGTTTATTCCCCCCCTTACATTATACCTAATGCTTTTCATTCTGACGTCACATGTTCGCCACATACTGGACTTTACATGTTGCATTACGTCTTTTACCTCTACTGTTGTGACTGTGTTTTTCTCATTGCTTTTGGTACAATCTAAAAAGCACACTCCAGTGAAGGCTTTATGCAGCTGTGTGCCCCGTGTGCTTCCTGTCCAGGCAATGGATTATTTAATCACCATTAAGCCTCTCTGAACCGAACTGGGCATCTTTCAGAGAAAATAAACCCCGGTTGCCAGGAATCCCCAGGCTCAGCGTGCACGGCCACAAAAGCCAGGACGACACACACTGAACTGCACACGGCCTACTGTCCCATCATGCCCTGAACACAACACAATAATCTGGAATTAAACCTTGACATGAGTGTGTGTCAGCTGGTGCACTATGCTGCTGTTTGCATGACACTTAACGTTATACAGTTCTTTTAACCCATGAAGTTATTTTCTGAATTGTTAGTGGACAATAAATACAATGTTAAAGATCAACAGCACAGAATCGTCATTGGAAATGCAGCACTTACGTTCTGGTTGTCATCGTCTTTTGATCCGTATTCCTGATAATCATACTGCGGAGACAAAAGGGTACATTCTTTATATAAATCAACATGTGATCTATAAAGATGATTGGGAAAGTCCCAGGTGGTGAAAGAGGAACTTTTGTATTCAGGTGTTCAGTTAAAAAGGTTCAGGAAGTGATCTCTCTCTGGCTTTCTTCCACCAGCACAAATGCACTTGAGCATTTATTACACATTCTTGTATCCCAGTGGCTGCAGCTGCATTAAACCAAAGAACTCCGTAATGAGAAGAAAGGTCATTTCTACCCTGTTGTTCAGTTCAAACTACAACAACCACACTACTGCTACTACAACTCTAACACTTCATATTTAATTTGCTTTCCAACAGGTGTGGAAAGTTTAAAAACAAGGTACAGATTATTCCTTGGTCACTTTTCTTTTTACAATATGCACCTAAAGAAAAAAATTGTGACTTTCCTGTTTCTTTACAATTCTGGCATAGTTCAAAAGACCATTCCCTGGGGCCGCAGGGCAAATATGAAACCTTTAAACCCTCGCTTTCCACACAGTCTGCCATAGGTATTTTCAAATCAACTTGCTTCTACTGTATTGCTTGTAGTAGCGGTGCAATGAAATGTGGCTCCCATGAACCAAAGATTACAAAAACACATGAATAGCAATAACAGACCTTTCTAAACTAGTGAAAATAACAATTCAAAATGAAAAGGAATATTCAATAAGAACTGTACATCACAGCAATAACATTATTGGATAGGCTTAGTGTTGCTGACGACCGATAAAAAATGTAAATACATTTGTAACACTTTAAATTGCATGTTCTACTCTTCTATCTGTTAAGTAGCTGCTATTCAACGGACGGAACAAATATTCACCTGATAATGTGTTACCTCAAATATGGAGTTATCCTGCTTTTTTGGTAATAAATGAGTATTTTGGACTGACAAAAAAAGAAATTTTAAGATTTTGAAAAAGTGGGATGGAAATGTCTCATAATTCTATAGACCAAACTATTATTCAAAACATAATCGACTGTTTAAACAGAATGTGAAGTCCAATATTAACATTTTCTCATCAACACACAAAAAAGGTTATTAACAATGTCAGCCCCCTTTACAACTGGGTATGATATCAAATATATACACACATTTTGATTCTTGTTTCTCTGTAACATTACTTGAAGTATATTTTGTAATGTTTCTTTTTTTTTTTTATAAAAAAAAAAGAACAAAAAACGATAAAATACAATAATAACATATAGAGGGATAACAATTCGTCATGACAACAACTTCAACCTTCCAACAGCAGTTGATAATTTGCATTAGCTAAGTGATGACATTTAGGATTACTTTCCAATATTTTGTACATAAAGAGCTTACTGTACTAAATGTCATGTCATCACAGTAGGAATATCAAGGGTGTGCGTGTCATGAGACATTCACTGTTTGCCGTCATTGTTCAGCAACCCTTTTAGTTTAGACATTGCTATTTGTAAGGATGTGAGAAAGACTGTAGACAGGTCTGCTGGATTACTACCTCTGTTAGTTTTGTTGGTCTGCTTTTATGTTAAAATGCAACGTCACAGAAAATGTAATCTTTAATAACACGGTTTGAACAGCCGCTTACAAGTTCAATTCAAGAACTCACAAAGCATTCGTCATCACATCTAAATTATTATAAATGTGAATAATGAATAAATAAGGTTTACAGAATTGTAACCACAGCAGTATACATACTGTAGGGCAGGGTGTCCCCACAGATTTCCTGAAGCCATTTGATTCAGATTTATAAGGTCACAATTCAATTAAACATAAACAAATCTTAATTGGTTTGATCAGTCATTTTAGTTACAATACCAATAACGCTTGACACAAGAACAGAAAAAGGATACAATTTGAAGAGATCAATCTCTGGATTTTATGAATTGATATTGGATCATTTATATGAGGATGGATTTGAATAGGAAAATCTATTTTTTTAAACCAAGTCTCAATCATGGTTATTTACTGCTTGCTAATTTCTATAGCAAGGGATGAACAGAGAAATCAAATACAACGAGTGAACACAATATCATGTTTTTTTTTTTTGCGTTGCGTTCTGTTAATGTTATGCGAGATTATGTTAAAAATCAAGCATGTTTAAAGGTCCCATGTCATGGCCATTTCTACTGATCATATTTCCATTGTTGAGGTCTACTAAAATAGATTTATATTGTGCAATTTTCCAAACTCACATTGGTTTCTCATACAGCATCTCTGTAAAGTATGTGTATTCACTCTCTGTCCTAAACGGCTTGTTGGAGCTCCTGCCCCCCCTCTCTGTGAGGCCAGTGTGCTCTGATTGGTCGGGACGTTGCGAGAC